AGAGAATTTTAGGAGAGGTGAGTGGAAAGGGTTTAAGTAAGAGAAATATGAATGCTGTCGGATGTCTAATGCATAAAGATACATTTCGTGGTGACATACACACACCATTGACGATCTAATGTTGAAGATCAGAATAAGAGGGAGGGAGATGAAAGGAAAGAAGAGGCGGGGGAGAGAGATGGGGCGAAGGAAAGTAAAATTGAAGGACATTTATTGACAGGGCCGCTGTGTAATTGAGAAAATTTGACAAATTTAATATCGACTACAGGTTGCAAATCAAATATAAACATATAAAACATAAATATAACGATTATCTAATCTTGCAAGGACCTATATTTTTATGTTCAAAAACACATGCGAATACACACATACACAATAACATATACACGTAAATACATACACATAGGCGTGTACCCACATACACACATGCATATACCCATGTACACACATATAAATATATCCACATATCCACACAAATACATATATATACATCTACACATATATATACATCTGGTTCAACATGTTAGCTCTATCTCTGATACTGAGCGCTTTCTAATATGCACCGCTCCTATAACATACAAATAATTACACCTACATATATACATATACACACCGATATACACGCACATACATACATATATATATATATATACACACACACAAACATATATACATATATTTATTAAAGACATTTTTATGTTTAACGTTGTTATTTATAGATACAAGTATTTAAGCAAATGCTCTGTTTATGATAAACAGTATTAAATAACATTTACCGGCCTGAAAGTACGAGAAATTTTCATAGAAAATATTCGTTCTTTGACAGGATTCGAACCTGCATCCTATACGGAACCGTCATATACGCTGACGTGCCTATATATATATATATATATATATATATATATATATATATATATATATATATATATATATATATATATATATATATTACAAATTAATTGATTTAAAATATGTTTTTTTTCTACACAGTTCCAACCATGTTTCAAAAATAGAAAATATCTATAAGAACATGTTTCAAAATAAAAATATCTATAAGAACACCGGATTTTATATCTTACTGTTCTTTCTTTATATATATATATATATATATATATATATATATATATATATATATATATATATATATATATATATATATATATATACATACATATATATATATATATATATATATATACAAAAATACACACACACACGCGTACATGCATATACACACATACATCCATACGCATCCAGTCCTTCATATATATATATACATATGTACACACATACATACATACGCATACGTGCACATAAACATATATACCTAAAACCTTACATTTCTATACAATTACATACACCCTACTAAAAAAATAAACAATGTATCCCTGTATCTACCCGTCTAACTATACATACATACTTTATACGTACATATACACCCATATACAAATATATATCAATCCATACATACCAAAACATACACACACATATATACACACATCTACATATACATGCATCTACCTCTCTCTCTCTCTCTCTCTCTCTCTATATATATATATATATATATATATATATATATATATATATCGGAACAATATTAAGTAAATTAATTTCGAAATGGAATAATGATGTGTGATGTTTTTCTTCCTTTAGGATTTCAACGGATAAAAGATATACTTTTGTTGATGGAACCACATCTGTGTAGGAAGGCGAGCCGCAATATAGTTATTATTAGGGACAGACACAAAATGGAAAAATATACAAGCACTGAAACTTTTAAACTATTTTTCTTTTTAGATGTATCCTATTTTCTCGTCTTGCCATAATTTTCGTTCAATATATAAAGTTAATAGAAAATCAACCTACTGTTACAGTGGTTTCACTAGTTTGGTATCGTCTTGGCAATAATTTGTATTTTCTATCCCAAGACTTACCTATATACATGGTCTTGCCGCTGCAAATGAGGAGTAGTATGAGGAGGAATATGTGCTGAAGAAAAAGGGGACATCATACTTATTATAAAAACCAGGTTGTGTGTGTGTGTGTGTCTGTACGCTTATATATTGGATCGGATTTCCTACATTTTTCAACCGATTTCAACAAAACTTCACAGGACTACGTAAAATTACCCTGCGGTGGTTCTGACAGCGCCAAAAATTGGAAAAACACAATTGTTTTCGCATGAAATCAATTTGAAAACACGATAAACACGATTCTCTCGCCAGAATGAAAAGGGGACAACTCATATCGAGAGTTATACTTATTATAAAACCCAGGTTGTGTGTGTGTGTGTGTGTGTGTGTGTGTGTTGTGTTTGTGTGTGTGTGTGTGTTCGTTTATATATGGGATCATTTTCCTACAAACCGATTTCAACAAAACTGCACATTTTTTTTTGGCAGGTAGTGTTTCTTATTGTCTTGCACACTTTTTTCTTTTATTTTTACATTCAGAATGCTTTAAAAATTCCATTTACAAGACAATTGTTTATAATAAAACTCTATTCAATCGATAGACTCATAACGATTGAAAACAATGTTTTTCTTTGAGTTTGGGTTTGACCAATTCGTAAAAAAACAAAAAAACAAAAAAAACAACAATAAAAAAAAAACTAATGAAGACATTCGTGTCCGTCATCCTTAAACAATAATCTTTGTCAATTTTATTCTTCAATCTTTATGATGGTCGATACTTGATCTATCTCTTACTGTTACATCCCTGGGCAACGCCGGGTTCTACTGCTAGTTATTTAATATAAATATTTTTATCCGAGATGTTCACTTATCTTGGGATACAAATTGTAATGTTCTACCTTACGATACCAAACTGGTAAAACGGCGGTAGATGGAAGGATGGTTTTCGATAAATGTTATCTTGATATACACTCCGTGCCAAATTATTATCGAGATAACTTTTTTCTAATATTCAATTCACGCCAAATTTTCACACAATGTTGGCAAAACTGATCTGCGCAATCCCTGAAATTTTTCTTACTGATCTGCGCAATGTAAACAAAATGGCGCCATATTTGTCATCAGCACTCGATCATAATTTGGCACGCAGTGTACTTTTACACTCTTTGAATTTGCATTGAGCGTTTTTTCAGTAATTTAAATGTTTCTTGATAAATATTACGTTTTGTTATTTTTTTTTAATTGAATCATATATTTATTTCAGGTCATTGTAAATCATCGTTCCCAATTTTCATTGTTTATAGATGATGACCGGAACTTGATATTTTCGTGATGACTTATGGAGTGTTCTAGATGGAAACCTTCAATCGTTCAATTATGCTTTGTTGAATATTGATGTTATATCCACAAATGAATGCCTTAAAGATGGGGTATGATAAGGTGCGCTTTTGCCCTATGAATTTCGGATGGAATTGGCGGAACTGCTACAAAAACATTCAGAAGGTTTATTTGTATCGGGTTCCATCAATTCCTATTGCCAAAAAGGCGTTTGGTAGATACCATTATGGGGAATTAACTTAAACGAACAACGATATAATTGCCAAAATAAGCTCAAAGTTCCAACGGAAGTAATTGGTAATTGTTTGAAAATCGATATCTCAACTGCTTTCGCCATCACAAGAGACGTGGGGCCAAGAAAAACAATTTTGGCGAATCGAAGTATTTTATATCTTCTAGCACGCCAACGCAAGATCGCATGTTGCAAAAAAAAACACCTTGCAGAATTTTAAAGAGTTAAAATGGGAGACCCTCCAGCACCCACTGCATTCCCCTGACTTGGCTCCTTCAAATCTGCATTGATTCAGGTCTTTACAGACAAAAATTTAAATGGCAGAAAATTCGATAGTCAGTAGAAAACTACCTCACAACCTTCTTTCAACACAAAAGTGTCTACAAAAGTGATATCGGCAAGCTTGAAGGACGATGACAGGCAGTAATTAAAAATAATGGAGACTCTGTACTTAAATGATTATTTTTTGTGAGTATGTGAAATTTTGGTTTTAACTTTCTAATCGAGCACGAACATTTGCAATAATCTAATATATAAGAGGTTTGATCAAATAGTATCGGGGTTGATGTCATGAAAATGCAACTACAAATTATATCAGTTCGTCATTTCATCTCCTTTAAAGAGGTCGAATCCCATCTACATAATTAGACAATCAAAAACAACGTCCTTGATAATTTATAATTAACAGCATGGATAGTTACGAAATAAACCGAAGCATGCAAGAAAAAGGCCATCACCTTCAACGACATCTTCAGATATATATATATATATATATATATATATATATATATATATATATATATATATATATGATGTAAGAATATGTTATTTTATATATCATCTAACAGTATTTACAAAAATTTCTTGGGACCTACTGCTACAATGGTTTCACTAGTTTGGCATCGTCCTGGCCGTGAATTTTCGATCCCAAGACACTCTGATATATATGATTATGCCGCTGCTAAAGAAGAGGAGGAGGAGAGATGTATTGAGAGAAAAAGGGAATATTATTTTATCTAGATATTTTTACTCGGGATCGTCACTTGTCTTGGGATAGAAATTGTAATTTGCTACCTAACGATACCATGCTGGTGAAACCGCCGTAGCTGGAAGGATGGCTTTCGATAAATGGATTTTCGATCTATCTATCTATCTATCTATCTATCTATCTATATATATATATATATATATATATATATATATATATATATATATATAGAATACATCAGGCACTCCAGACCAGCTGCAATCTTCAGTTGAGCGCCGTGCTTCAGCAAAGTTTTGGCCCATCAAGCTCAGTATCTCGTCTCACGTTGAGCCCGCAACAGTTGGATGATGTTACGTTGCAACCGGTCTGTGTTGTTAGTTGGACGCGACTCGATACGAATTTCTGGGTAATCATGACACCGTTTTCTCGCCTAAAGTCTACCTTAATCTGTTTCTGGATACCAACAAACTTGAGGAATCTCTTTAAGAAATCATCAGGAAATCCTCTAGAGCTAACCACAAACGGTACCAAGGAGCAGCTGTATCCCCTCTCACGGACTTCAACCACCAGTTCCACATACGGAATCCGCTTTCTTTCATTAGCCTCTTCAATCCCTTCTTCTCATGCCACTGTCAGTTCGCCAAGCAACAGATGTTTCTTGTCGCTATCAATTAACACTAGATTTGCCTCAGTCCAGACACAATAACTTCCATTGGTAGTGCAGCATAAACCAAAACTCTCCACTTTCTTGAATCCTCCCACCTGGTCTCCTGCCTTGTGTCAGCCACGCCTTGCTTCAAGTTATATTAAATACTACTGACAAGCTTTGCAATAAAGCCTTTTTGACCTAAGATTTCTGTGTGGAAACCGGAAGGAAATGTGTATACAACAGAAATCTGGTTATAATCTAAACGTTTATCTCTCTTCAAATCTCGATCGTGGAGAGTACTATTTGATGAACAAATGGATAAAAAGAAATACGAAAAGTTAATGATAATAGTAATTTTATTTTGTTATAAAAAGGTCATAAATATTTAAGGGACATCCGGGATACATTTTGGAAATAGCACTGAAGTAGAGACAACGAGTTTTTAAGCATTTCAACGCAAGCAAACAGGAGCGTCACTAGCACGCAAGGAATATTTGGAAAAAGGATAAAGAGAAGAACGGGGATCAAGTTCAAGGCATAAGAAGATGACGATCGACATTACATTTGAATATTTGAATATTATAGCTATCAGGGAGCAAGTGATAGGAAAGGAATCCACTCACGGGAGGTGCGAGATAAGAAGCTGTTGGAGTAGAAGTGATGGCTATATTTAGCCGTTTCGACAGTGAAGGGGTGAGACAGAGATGCCAGCCTAGTATCACGCTTAAATTCATTCAGTTTGGGAACCAGTGAAAGTAACTCGTCAAAGCAGTTGCCATGAAAATACTTGTAGAAAAGACAGAGGGAAGCCACAGCATGTCTGTGAGAAAGTAACTTTAGACGAGGTGCCAGTTAAGACCAATCACTTTGCATAATTGTCTCTGGACAACTAGCGGAAAATCAGCAAGGAAAGGGAACCAAGAAGTGAAAAAAATATAGAAGACAGCCTCTACATGGACAGTCTCTTCTCCAAAGCGAAAAAGTTAATACGGGTCGATTTGCAAACCACCAGTGTCTAAAGCGTTTGGGTTTTAAGAGTGATTCCAGCGCTTGCTTACACGAAACTATTAATATCTTGCAGAGTATTAAGAACACCAAAGGTAAGATCTGTAACCAATATATTGAAACATTTGATCACCTCATCTCAGAATGATCAATGCTCACGCTAAGTGAGAACAAAAACCGTCATGGGAGGGTAGATCAATATATGCGTCATACGGAATAAAAAAAAAACAATTGGAAATTGGTATCAACACAGTCCTAAATCTATAGTTGATGCACAAGATGTTAACATCCTCTTGGATTTTTCTATCAACACAGATCTAACAATACACGCCAATCTCCCAAAAATTATTATTAAAGAATTGGCTCACTGATTGACATGAGATTACCAAGTGACGGAATATTTTTGCGGACGTTTTTGAAAAAACTAAGCAATTAGAATTACCTGGAAATAGAACAAAAGATGTTGCATTTACAAAGAAAAAACTGTGATTTACCTGAAGATGGTGATGAAATGAAATAACCTGACACCCCCTGAGTGACTATACTATATGTAGTAACTATCTATAAGTATCCGTAAGGCAACAGACTGCAGAGATTTGCTGGAATCTTGTTCCAGCAAGACGGTCGAGAGAGGAACCTGGACGAGGCTCTGCCAAAGGGCAGGGTCACGTTCGGGGAGGTTGACCAATCCGATTCTGTTTTTACAGTTTCTACGGGCATTTTTTGGCCGAGCTTACAGGATCGGAAAACCCACGTAAAACTCGGCCTTGTGCCACATCTTTCCTTCGTGGAGGGGAGGTGGCAAGTAAATATTGACTTGCTGGATCTGTTCCAGCAAGACGGTCGAACTCTCTGTCTTCGAGCAGACTGGAAGCTGGATGAGGCTCTGCCGAAGGGAAGAGTCTCGTTCGGGGAGGTTGAGCAAACCGATCCCGTTTACGTGGGTTCTACGGGCATTTTTTGGGCCGAGCCTACGGGCTCGGATGACCCACGTTAAACTCAGCCTTTGTCACATCTACCCTCGTGGGAGTGGGGTGGGGCTAGTATATACCGATTTGCTGGGATCTGTTATTCAGATCTTGGCTGCTGTCGAACTCTGTCCGAAGGCAGAGAGGAACACGGCCGAGGCTCTGCCGAAGGGCAGGGTCTCGTCCGGGGAGGTACACAGACACGAACCCGTTTATGCGGGATTACGGGAAATTTTTGGCCAAGCCTACGGGCTCGGATTGCCTCACATTAAACTCGGCCTTGTGCAACATCCTTCCTTGTGAGGAAGCAGATAAATACTTGCTGAGATCTGTTGAGTACGACACCGACTTACTAGAGAACAATTCGACCTTCCAAACAAAAAAACTCACTACTGGTTTTATAACAACCTTTATTTAGTTATCCACTGTGTTGTTCCAGTGATAATGCTTCAAAATCAAATTTCTCTTTGAAATTCAAAATATAGTTCTAACACAGCACTTATACTGCCAAGTGCTTTGTTTATTTTATTTATATTTTATTTTTAATAGCTTTCTTTTGTTTAAGTGAAAAAATAAAGACAACACCCTTCGCTTGTCCCCTGTCATTGGCTATGACATTATACCTGATCATAAATAAAATAATAGTTAAAAAGAAATTAAAAATAAAATAATAATATACAGAGTATTCTATCTCCCATATGCTGACATGCTGACTGTCCTGACAATTACTATTCATATTATTAGATTTTATCTAGCCTCGAACAGCGATTACTAATACTGAAAATTAGAATGCGATGATGTCAGATACAACTGCTATGTATGTTTTCTGAGTTCAACGTCGATAAAAATCCTTTCCAAAAAATACCTTTTTCTATTAAGGTAAACGGAGAGAAACCTTACAATGGTTGTACTTGGAAGAGCTTTTCTCCCATAAAAAACAAAACAAGTAACCTCAATACAGCCATCAGAAATCTTGCAGCTCTCACAATTTGACAAAGCAGCAACAAAGCTAAATAATTCATTTGAATAAATCTCGACGTAATTTTCATCGAAGTTACTTCGTTTTCTTCCCTCTGATTGGAAAGATGCATTGTTATCCTCCGAAATTTTGCATATGCTCCAAAAATTAATTTCCGCTAAGATAAAGAAATAAAGATTTGTAATCTTCGAACCTAAAAGCGAAATGGCAAAATAACGAAAAAAAATAACGTTGGAAGACATTACAACGTTTCCATTCCATTAGCGTATTCAGGACTCCATTTCTGTACTCACAGTATTCATTTTTTTGGGACGCATGCGCAAATGATAGTAAACAGAACGAATGCTTATCGCCCGGTTCACACTTCTTACCCATCTTTGGAAAAGCAGTAGAGTTTTTTTTTTATTATTGTTTCCTGTTTATGATTTGGATTCTTTCTCTTTCATTTTCAGTCACTGAGTTTTAGTAGCATATCGCCTGTCTTGTCACGAGATGATTAAAAACATTCCCACAAACACCGCTACCCTATCAAAAGACAAACCCGCGAAAGCAGGAATTTTGTTTCAGGCATACAGGGGGTACTTTGACGATCCAAACATCGTCAACAACAAAACGAAAGCTCGGAATTTTAAGTTTGGCACATTGAATTTGCTTACATAATACGTCTCCTGAGAAATCTGTCTGTTGATACATCCATGCATCAAAACAAATTATTTTAAATGCAAATACAGATTTGTTAAGTCTAGCAATCGTTGTCAGCCTCTACAGTACTGATGTGGGCAGAATTTTGTTTGAAATAGTTGGGAAATTCGATATTTTGATTATGTGATTATTTTCATTTCAAGGTTATATGTGATGTGTATTCGTGTTATTAGAACTAATGTTTTTTGGGACTATTTCATTTGTAGTCCTATATACGCATTTGGACAGACACATGCGCACACACGCATACATATATATATATATATATATATATATATATATATATATATATATATATATATATATATATATATATATATATATATATATGTATGTGTGTGTGTGTATGTATGTATATATATGATCGAAATAAAAGTAAAAACTTAATATTACGAGACATATTAAAAACGGGCAGAAGAAACCGGTTTCGCTCCCGGTCTTCAGGCTTCAACGGGAGATTTAAAATTAACACAGATAAATGTACAATAAAAGGAAGTTTTTTTGTTTTTTGTTTTTTCACAGATCCTTTTATTGTACATTTATCTGTGTTAATTTTAAATCTCCCGTTGAAGCCTGAAGAGCGGGAGCGAAACCGGTTGCTTTGCCTGTGTTTTTTAAATATGTCTCGTAATATTAAGTTTTATACTTTTATTTCGATCATTAAATTCTTTACCTACAAAAATATCTTATATATAAATATATATATATATATATATGTGTGTGTGTGTGTGTGTGTGTGTGTGTGTACATTTTGAACAATAAAAATATTAAAATTTGAAATCTTCAGACAAACTGGGTTGTATATTAATATTCTTTCGTTTTTATTATTATTTCAATTATATTTCTCGACGAGTTTCGCTCAACTTGGCCATCATCAAGAGAAAAAGCAAAATTCTGCTTGCTGGTAACAGTGAACTACAGAAATTAATGTTTTGATGGAGAAAATGCACTTTTTTCACTAGTTTTCATTTGTTTTTTTTTATTTTTAAACATCAATTTTGGTTGCTTAAACAGTCTCTTTTGAGTTGTTATTTAAGATAAGTGCTGGATAGCTTCATGCTGCTCTGAATTTCCTTGGTCATTTTAACAGTTTTATTGGTTCCTTGAAAGGGTGTGTGTCTCTGTTAAGGGTGTGCGTTATTCGGTTCTTAGTGAGTGAATATGATGTGTGTAAACGTGTATATTACTATGGGTGTGTGTTATCATTTGGCTCATTAGGGAATGAGTGAGTATGATGTAGGTGTGTACATTCGTGTGGGTGTGTATACAAGTGTGAGGCCTGAACATCTCCGTAAGCAGGTCTATCTTGTGTGGGTCAGAAATGTGGGTAGGTCCTGATTTGTGGTGTTATATATTAATACTATATATATAT